TCTAAAAGAGCTGTGTGGCCACGGGTAACTTGCTTAAGCTCTCTGAGCTTCTGTTGCCTGCTTCATAACATGGGAATAACATAGCTGTAGTCTGAAGTTAGACGATAGTACTTAATAGATAGTTGTATCACTTACGATTATTAAAAAGGGACTCTAGGATACAAGTTTGTCTTGTCCCGGGCTTTCCTGTCTACCCTACAGAGCAAGTTAGCACGGGGAGCGGGAAGGACAGGCCGAGCTTACCCAGTTAGCTTGGACCAGCTTTTCCGAAGCCCCTCAAATTCTTTTCGGGCATTTGACTGCCTGCCAGCTTGCACAGCTGCAGCGGGCTTAAATCCCTGCTCCGGAGAAGTTTATCCAGCTGGTGGAGTTGAGTCTGGGGGCTCAGTGACACACGTGCCCCAGGTGACTGCTGTCCTTGTCATCAATTCACAGTACTGTCTGGCCCTGACAGAGGGCCCTGCAGAAAGTGGCTGTATTGGCTCAGACCCCAGCTCACTCTCCTGGGTGGGCCTCGGTCCTCCATGTGCTCAGGCCTGTGCCGACTTGCAGGCCGGATTTACAGGGCTTCTCCCCACGGTGCACTGGAGTGGCGGCGGGGGGGTGGGGGGGTCGGATTTGGACATGAGAGTCCAACACTGGCATGTGCTTCTGTGCGTGTGCGTGTTTATGGAAGTATAATAGATCGCCTCGCTGCAGAACATCCAGGAAATGAAAAGTTTGCAGTTACCTGCTGTCCTGGGACTCAGAGAGCCCCAGGAAGCTTCCAGGTTTGCTTTCTGCTTTCTTCCCACGTGAGCATTTTTGTGCAGGGAGGTCCTAGTGTACATTCACTCTAGTGATCTGCTTGCTTTGTGTTGCTGTCTCCCCACCTGGTATAAGTCTAAGTCTGAAGCATCTTGGAATATGTTTGCCCATTCCCGAGTGCCCCCTACATGCCTGGCGCTGTTCCTTGGGAGCGGGAAGGGTGTTGATGGCACCTAATATCGCTGGGCTCTTACTGGGTGCCAAGCACAGAGCTGGGGACTCCGCATGCCTCCACGGTGGGGAGCTGGGGGGTCTAGCGGAGATAACTAACATGGGTGGAGGGCTGCATTTAAGCCAGACTGTGTCCTCATTGCTTTACTCTCATTAGCTCATTTCTTTTCCATGACAACCCATTTTATAGATGGGTACACTGAGGCACATGGAAGTTTGGTGGCTTACCTAAGGATAGCCAGCTAAAGCCAGGAGTTGAACCCAGGAGTTGACCCTGGCATTCTTAACCAGCATGGTGCCCTGCTCCTCATGGGAGTGGGGAGCCTCAAGACAACGTCTAGCCTGTCTTCCAGTTGTTGATTGATTGGTGGAAGAGTGAGCTGCTTGGCATGGGGGGTGATGTTCTAACAGAGGGGGCACTTTGGAGCCCAGAGGAGCAATGCAGGGTGGGAAAGACATCACAGGAAAGGAGCCTTCAGATTGGGTTGTGAAGGAGGAGTCAGACTTCACTGTGCAAGAGAGGGGGCCAGGAGGCCTCGGGAGGCAAGCAGTATGTGTGGATGTGTAACTGGGGCCTGGCGGGTGAGGCCAGGCTGCTCCTGCCAGGGCATGTCTGTGCCGTGGGGGCCCCATACTCTGGTGCAGCTGGAATGCACCGGCGAGCCCTCACCTAGTGCCTGCCCCTGCATGGGAGACCTCAGGCTGATGGAATCTTCTGGAGGGAGGCCTTTGCAGGGCCTCAGTATCTTAGCTGGTATTGGCATTTCATAAAGGGTTGGTCAGCCCTGCTCTAGCGGATGACTAGGCCGTTTAAAGAAGTTAGCATGCCCTTCAGCACCCCAGGGGCTTTGCGACCCGGCCTTCCAGCACGTAGAGCCCACGTGATGTTCTGTCCAGGCTTCACATAGCCCGGCGTCATAGCCCCTTCTATTCCGAAAGCATTTACTGGATTGGAAGATAGAGCCATGGAATATAGGAATAAGGTGAACTCAGATTTACAGAATGTGAGTTACTGGGTTGCTGAGAGGATTTGGGTGCTTTTGCTGGTTTGGGAGCAAAGGCAGTAACTTGCATTGAGGAGTCGGGCGCTGGCGACCAGGGGCACACGCGGCAGGCAGCGAGGATTCCGGGGCTGCGCTTCAGAGCAGCAGGCGGGTCACTGGTGAAGCTGTGTGCGCTGCGCCCCTGCTCACAGGTCGCGGAACGGTCAGCAAGTGTGTGGTCCCTGCCATGTGGGAGACCAACCACGCACGATCCCGCTGCCTCTTTTTTTGTTTTTTTTTTAAATTTTTTTTGGGGGGGACAGAGAGAGAGTAAGCGAGTGCATGAGCGCATGCGAGTGGGGGAGGGGCAGAGAGAGGGAATGTTAAGCAGACTCCGTGCTGAGCGGGATGCAGGGATCAGGACCTGCCCTGAAATCAAGAGTGGGCGCTCCCCACCCCTGTTTGTAACCCGCCAGCCTCCTCCCCACCTTCCAAGCCGCGTGTGGAGAGTAGTGTGTCCGGGGGGTTGTGTCTGTGGTGTGGGCGCGACCCCCGTGGCCCCGCCTGTGGTGACTCTGCCCCGACTCTGGCTCTCCCGACTACCTGTCTTTTCCTCGGTCCTTCCGCACGAACGCGGTCGCGTCAGCACGGGGCCTCGGGACGCCCTGTGAGTCCGCGGAGCTGCGTGCCATGTCCTGTTCTCACTCGCTGAACTGCCTTGACCACACACATCCGCCCTGGTTTCCAGGGGGAGGATGGCTGTGCCGGGAATGGAGCCACATAGCCTCGTGTGGAGGCTCTGACACCCCCGGGGCGCATCGTCTGTGCCTGTTTCACCCCTGGGGTGTGCCGTGAGTGCCCATGTCACCCCCGGGACATGCTGTGAGGGCCCGCGTCACCCCCCGGGGCGCACCCTGAGTGCCCATGTCACCCCTGGGACATGCTGTGAGGGCCCGCATCACCCCTGGGGTGCGCTGTGAGGGCCCGTATCATCCCCGGGACATGCTGTGAGTGCCCACGTCACCCCTGGGGCGCACCGTGAGTGCGAGCGCTGTGCTCCTGAGCTCCTTGCGTGGACACCCCCGACCTCCTCCTGTTGGTGAGCACCCCTCTCTGAGGGTCCCTGGGAATAAATGTGGTCTGGGAGCTGTGATGTAACCAGAGTGTGGCCGGCTCGGTGGCGGGACCGTGCCTTGACCGAGGGCACCACGTGACCTGTGCTCCGCAGTCAGCAAGCCCGCACCTGTTTTCTTCAGTCCGGCTCCCGCCTTCCACTCCCTTCCTGTGTGGGGGACGTCTGTGTCCTGAGAGCAGGACCTGATGTTTGTCTCAGCCTTGAGGAGCCTCATGCAGGGCGTGAAGAGATGCAGTGGCTCTGGAGCCATTTGGATGCTCTGGGTCTTGACCAGGGACGAGTTACCTAATCTCCGTCCGCCTGGCTGCCTTATTCTGACAGACGTTTCCTACAGAGAAGGGGTTCCTAGAAGGGGAGACGGGAAGGTGGCCCAGAGGTGGGAAGGGCAGCACGTGGCCCCCGCACCTGGGCCTGCAGGGTCTGGGGGCGGGGGGGCCCTGAGGTGAGAACCCAGCAGGGCCTCCCCCGGTGGACGCAGGAGGGGCCTGTTTTAATGACCTCCCGTCACCTGGTCGGTGAGGAGAGGTTCCTGCCCCGGCGTTACGGGGACGCCCGAGCACATGACACCTGGCACGGGGCACAGGCGGTGACAGTTTCTAGTCACACATACAGCCTGGGTGAGGGGACAGTGTGTGCACGTGGGGCCACGTGGGGCTGCGGGAGGCGGGCCCTGTGGTCACACGGGGGAAGGCGCCCCGGTCCCTGTGGGGGACATCGTTGGCCTGTTTGAGGCCATGTGCGGGGCTCGGCCACTGTGCGGGGCCAGATGCGGGGTGAGGGCAGCTGCTGGTGAGGCTGGTCCCGGCCCCCTGGTCCCCCCAGATGCCGAGGCAGCACGTGACACTGGGCCTTGATTTTAGGCCTGAGGTGGGGTTGTCTGGCAGGTGTGGGAGCCACGAAGGCGACACGGCTGCTTCCACCTGACACAAATGGGCCCCCTCCTCCTGTCTCCCTTCCTCCCCCTCAGTGCATTGGTGTTTACAGTGCTTCACACACACTGCTTTGCTTAATTGATAGAACAGCCCTGTGATGTGGGAGTTGTCACCCCATTTTACACACGAAGACACCTCGGCTTAAAGGAGTCATTACCCTCCATCTGCTCCAGTCAGAGACGAACGGCATCAGGCCCCAGGCCGTCTGAGCTGACGCGCAGGGTCTGCAGGAGAGCGGGACGCCCCTCTGCGGGTGGGTGCCCGGCTCGGCACCCAGGCCCGTGTTTCCGATTCTGAATTCTTGTTTCCCGAGAGGCTCTCCTACTGACTGTGCTTCTCCCACTCACACGGATCTGTTTCCCTGGATGGTCCTTGTCGGGGGGTGGGGGGGGTGGGGAGGGAGGCTCAGGGTAGTTCTGGTTCCCGTACGAGCGCAGGGGTGCGCTGATGTTGCCAGCGAGGGGAGACCGCGAGGCAGGGGTGGAGGTGAGCTGGCCCCAAGCTTGGTGCTCTGTCCCTCTTTGTGCGTCACTCACGGACACAGGTGATTGCCTGGCAACACCCACGGGTCTGGAGTTTTCTTGGTACTTTGATCTATCACGTTTATATACTTTTTAAATTATTTTTTTAATATTTTAAAAAATATTATTTTTTATTTTTGAGAGAGAGAGAGAGACAGAGTGTGAGTGGGGGAAGAGAGAGAGGGAGACACAGAATCCGAAGCAGGTTCTAGGCTCTGAGCTGTTAGCACAGAGCCCGACCCGGGGCTCAAACCCACAAACGGTGAGATCATGACCTGAGCTGAAGTCGGCCGCTTAACTGACTGAGCCCCCAGGCACCCCGATCCATCACATCTTAAATGGTTTGCCTTTTCCTTTTCCTTCGGGAATGGATTGGAATTTCCTGGGGGGGGTCGGTAAGTCTCATGTTGCCTCAGGGATGCCGTCATCACTGCTGCCATTGTCATTGTAGAAAAATTGTATGGTGACCTCTTGAGCTGGAACCTGGAAGAAACCCTTGCCCAATTTCCTCTGCAACCTGGGAAGGTGGCCACTTTCGTCCTCAACATCAAGGTGAAGCTGGATTTCTCGTGCCAGGAGAACCTCCTCCAAGACGTCAGTGACGGTGAGCCCCCCTCACCCCATGAGCTCCCCCCCATCTTAACCAGAATGGAGTGGCCCCTCCGTGCTTGCTGCTCCGCTGCTGTAGCCTGCTCGCCAGTCGGTTGCTCGAGCTGCGCGAGACCCGTCCTGGGCCTTTAGTTTGAGTTTGCCCACTGCTTTCTGTACAGATCTGAGAGTCATATGGCTACGTTTTAAGCTGAATCATTTCTTAATTTCACAGTCTTTGCTGTTCTGTGCTCATTTGCCAGGAGGTCATCTTAAATTGGTGGAGTTACTGCATTTTTTCAAGTATAACTGCCGCGATCTAATTATCTGTGACGCTAAAGTTCTTCAAAGTCTGGTGGTTTCTGTAAGGAGGTGGCGTCTGGGGGAAATGGGCATTTACACTTGCAGCTCTAGGACTAGCCGACGTGGAGTAAGATTTCACAGATTGATTGTATCCAGTTATGACGGAACGTGTGCTTTCCTGCGTTGGTTTGGAGGCATCGCGGTGCGGGTTAGTCAGCTCAGGCCGTCTGTCTGCACCACGGAAATGGAGTTCCCGCAGTTCCGCAGGCTGGGTGTCTGGTGCCAGCATGGTGTCCCCTCGCCTTCCCGCAAGGGCACCAGCCCTGCTGGATTCGGGTTTCACCCTTGTGGCCTCACTTAACCTTTATTGCCCCTCACAGTCCTGTCTGCAGACACAGTCACACGTGGGGTCAGGGCTTCAACACTTGGATTTTGGGGCCGCAAGCGTTCAGTTGAAGGGTGTTGTTTGAGACAGCAGACTCTGCCACTAGAACTTCCTGTGTTACTTGGGGTCAGCGACTTTGGCTTGTCTATGCCTTAGTCTTCTAGTGTCTAATGACCGTTCCTGGGGCTGTGAGGATTCCCCGGGAGCAAGGTGAGGGCTCAGCACATGTCAGTTACACTCTGTCCCGCCGTTGCCCATCTGGAGCCGGACACGACATTTAACTCTCTCTGATTGTGAGACAGGCGCTGGACTAGGCCCCTGGATGACAGAGAGAGTGAGGGTGTGGCCTGGAGAACAATGAGAATGACAACAGCTAATATTTAAGAGGTTTACGTAATCCAACCACTTAATCCTCGCAGCAGCCGTATGAAATAGGTGTTATTAATATCTCCATTTTACAAGTGAGGACGTTAAGGGCCAGAGAAGTTGAATAACTTCTCAAAGGTCACACAGCTAGGAAGCGACAGAGCTGGGCTGTGAACCCAGGCAGCTGACCCAGAGTCTGTTAACCCTGCTCTGGCCCCTTGTTGCCCCCAGAGGGTCAGCCAGAAAAATAAATATGGGATTAGAGCACCCTGAGACTCAGGGACATGATGAGATGCAGCTCGCTTTACCTGGTGGGGACCTGTAGGGGCTCCCAGAGCTGCTGCGTGACTTGGGCCTCAATCAGCAAGTTTCTTCAGTGAAGAAAAAGCATGGCCCCCCAGGCCTTGCAAGCAACTGGCTGGTACAGAGGCTCAGAGGCCTGTCAGTTATGAAGTGGGTTTTACCCGCAGGTACTAGATGTCTGTGTGTCTGTCTCTCTCTGGGGATGGGACTCTCTTATCCAGCCAGTCTCTTCCAGCCGTACCTGGGTGCTTAGGAATGGTGCTGACGGGTGCTTAGGAATGGTGCTGTCCTGCTGAACACGGGAGATAAAGCTTAGTTACGGTTTCGTGTTCTCACAGCGGGGAATTCTCTCCTCTCCTCTTGCCCCTCTGAGGAGTCTGCAGCCATACTGGCCACCTGTATGGAACATGTCCAGCTGTCCTGCCCCAGGGCCTCTGCACGGGCTCTGCTCTTGCCTGAATTGCTTTCCCCCAAGTCTGCAAGACCCACACCTGGTGTTCAGAGCTCAGTCCAGAAGTCTCCTCTGCAGAGAGGCCGCCTTCACCGCGTCAGCGGGACCAGCGCCCCCTCCCGCGTCATCCTTGCTGCTTTGGAGGGGAGTTTCAGGGAGCGGGACCCCATCTGTCCTGTGCTCACCCTTTCTGGGCTGTGATGGAGAGAGAGCTGTTACGCAGGATGTAGTCAGGATGAGTGAGCGAGCGGCTCTTCCCCCTCCTTCCCCTCCAGTGGGGGCTCCACCCTTATGACCTCATCTCAGTGTCAGCGCCTCCCAGGGGCCCCACCGTGTAGCCCTGTCGCAGCGGGGGTTAGGGCTTCACCCTAGGGATTTGGGGACGACACAAACGTTCAGTCCGTAACACGCCTCATGAAATTTGTTCTCCTGTATTCTGTATATCTGACCACAGCGAGGCTCCTCGTATGATACTAATATTTGATTAAAATTGTTCGTATGTTATTAACACAGGTAGGAAAGCACGTTTGCTGTTGGACACTTTACAAACTGTGAAAGTGTCAAGTGGACCTAATATTATACCAGGACTTAGTATCAGATAGGATGGGTTCTTTTCTGCGTGTGAGCTGCTTGATAGCATCAGACTGCCTTGCTCGGCAAGTAGACAGAGGGCTACACACAGAGGTTCTGACTTGTCTTTTTCCCCAAGAAGGGAGTTTGGCCGAGTAAACGGTGCCTGACACTCGTCCAGGGAGTGTTTGATTAGATGTCGTCCCCAGGGCCTGTCTGGGCAGGTAGACTTCCAGCCGAGCTACCTGGCTGTGCAGGGAAGGACAGGACACCGACTTGGCTGCCTGCTGAAGGTGGCGTGCTCTCCCTGAGAGACAGGAGGCCTCGGGGGGGACCCCAGCTGTCTTCGTTTTGGTGGCTGTGTGAGTTTATGTGCTCAGGCAGGCCTAGTTTGTCATGTTAGTGCGTTCCTACCTTTTATGGCCTCTGCTGTTCTAAGCTGAGAGTGAAATTGTAATCTGAGATTTATAGTCTAGGAATACGTTCTCCTGTCCTTTAAAATCAAACCGGATCACAGGGAGCTAGGATTATGATCTCTAAGTTGTTTGTAACTGTGGGGCTGCCCTGATTTCCCATCTGTTGGTGATAGCACGTGTGTGAAGCAGAACGTGGTTGTTACTAACTCGATGCCCTCCCTGCTGATAATGGTGAACAGACGCTCTGGCTGGTTATTTCCACGGCAGATTGTAGAATTCAAGGCACAGAATCTCAATGGCCACAACCAGGGCAAGTTTTATAGAGGAACAAAAGATGGGCACCAGGGCCCACAAAAGACCGTTCCGGAGTACACTGTGATGTGTAGTTCAGGTGAAGGAGTCAAGAACTTCAGGCACAAAACAAATGAACAAAAAAGAAACAAGAGAGAACCCGCGCCCCCGGCTCTCACACACACAGGACGCACCAGTGCTGGTGGCAGGGGTGGGAGTCGCCGAGCTGGGCGAGCACCGGGCGGCGGGCGGGAGTGTTAGACCCCCGTACGTGTGGCCCTGCTTGGGGACACCCGTAAACTCGGTGACAGGGGCTTCGTGGAACTGGGAGGCGACCCGTGTGTGGCTCTCAGTCTGACACTTTCAGAAACCTTCATCTGGGAACCGCTTGTGGACCCAATTTGCTTTTCCAGCATGGACTCAGATTAACTATGGGTACCTAAGTTAGATGCCATTTGAGGAATTTAGAGCAATAAATATAGCTATCATGCTAACCAGGGTGCCGGATTCAGTGTGCGTCGTGGACACTCAGAAGAGAATTAGTGTTTATTGAGCAAAGTCAGAGGCTGCATAGAAGCCTGGGCCGGCCGCTTTATTTGTATACTTTCTATTTAACCTTCCCAGCAGCTCTGCAGAGTAGATGGTTTTACAGAATGAGTCCCATTTTGTAAAAACAGCAGGAGGACTGTTCCAGATTAGAGGAGATTGAGGAGAAATCCAACATGACGTGCCGGATGCGGTCCTGGTCACATCCTAGGTTGAATGAAAATGCTCCAAGGACGTTTTTGGGACATCTGTGTCCTGGACGGGGCACGGGAGCAACAGACACAGCTGAGGAGGCGAGGGGCTCACTCACCCTCTCCCCGTCCCCCAGGGAAAAGTCGTGGGCGGGGGCCTGGCCCCTCTCGGGGCTGGGCTGGCTGTGCACATCAGGGTGCTTTGCAGGGAACGTGGCAGGAAACTCACTCCTCCACGATGGCGAGGCCGCTGTCTGCAAAAGTAGTTTTAAACCGTGTAATTATTTTGATGGAGATGATGTTGGTATTGGTATTCTGAAACTGTGTGGAATAAAGTGAGTGATTAGTTTTGTGGCCATCTGATTCTAGCATCTGGTCTTGAACTAGGATTCTTGTATGGAAGAAAGGAGGTAACAGATGTGAGATAGTAGAGATTAAGTAAAGCCTTTTATTCAAGTCTAAGGACTTGAATAAAAATACCAGTCGAGTTGTGAGGTATTTAAAAATCAGTCCGTCTGCCCTGTGTACTGCCAAGGCCTAGACACTGAGCGGCCCCAGAGCAGGGAGTTGTCCAATTCTCATGTCACCGTCTGGAAACCCTCCTCCCGACTCAGAGAAGCCAGGGCTCCTCGGAGAAGTGGCCGTTCCCAGTCTGAGGCCGGAAGTGCAGGAAGGCAGTCTTGGAATGTGGCTTGAAGGCTGTAGCAGGGCCGCTGTCAGAGGAGGCTGGAGTGGTGTCAGGAGGAGCCGCCCCAAAGGCGCTGCCACTGACGGCCTGAGGGTCACTAAGGATGACAGCTGTTCCAATCCCGCATTCTTCGTGCTGCTGGAAAGAATTTGCCGCCTTTGCAGATGACAGGGAACCAGTTCACTATTTTGCACGTGGTCAGCAATGAGTGTTTATTCTCTCTTTCCATACCCGTGCACCGTGGGACAGCCCAGCAGTTGATGAAGGGGTCTCCCTTTACCCACATGTTCCAGGGATGATGGGATTGAAGTACCTTCATTTTACAGTCCCTGGTAGGTGAGTGGACCAAGACAGCCTCATAACAGTAAGAGACAGCCGGACGATATGGTCCCCCTGCGGGGAGAACACGCGCCTCCCAAAAATTCCACCTGAGACAGGTCCGCCTCTAGGTCCAGCTACCAGTTTATAGGACGACAGAAAAACCTGTCCAATGACACCAGTCCGGA